ATTTCTGAAAAATATTTACTACATATGGCAGTTTTACTACAGGTTAGTAGGAGCTATACAGCCATAAGCTGTTCAAACAATCGAATTTTATTTCCATTGTTAGTAGTTAACTATATGTACAACAAACGATTCATAAAAACTGGCCAGAATTCATTAATTATTACCTTATCTCGCCCGACTCTCATTTTTTGCGCTCCCTTCGAAAATCACTAAATGTGAAGTAAAACGGACTTTAAAAGAGAAAATGACTTGGTTCAGCTTTTTCGAACAGCTATTTCAGAAGCTCTATAATGACGGCATAAGGTTTTCATTTTTGCCAAAGGTCATAGACAATAATGACCATTACGTGCTTAAATAAAGCTCAGTTTGAATAAAAAAGAAAATTTATTTTAAAAAACAGGTAGAAAAAAAAATATCTCAACACTTTTTTCCCCAAACTATTTTACGTACGTGTGTATGGGTGTGTGCTGTGACGGTAGAAATTTACAGAAAAAAAAAGGGTTTTTTTATGAAAGCTTCCAATCACCAAATGATGAAGAAATGATAGATAGATAGATAGATAGATAGATAGAAAGAATGATATAAGAAACGTAATCGAATAAATCAAAATGTTATTAAATCACATGTCAGAGAATATTGACCAGATATACATGGTTTCGCATGTTGCTTTTACGTCCATGGTCGATTGATTATAGCACACGATGTACTGATAAATTATTACAATTTTTCAAAACTTTATTCACGTTCAGCATAAGTAGTAGAGAGAGTGAGTAGTTTAATGACCGTATAATCTTCAGAAATGTCGAGGCGCACTGGCCATCAAGATCAGGTGACTTTGAGGAACTCTTTGGAGGCCAATAAAGCGATCTCCTTTAAATCACAAACATCCAATTATCTTAAAATTTGGTTTTATTGGTATTTTTGATTTTATTGGTGACGTAAGTACAGATTTAAGTGAAAAAGTAGCTAAAAATTGATGCTCCAGAATGGAACGTTTTTTGAATAGCGTTATCGTTTCAAAGTTTGTGCATGTAGCCCTTCAGCTGAATTTCAACTCTATTACTGCGACTATGAGGAAGGACGGACGAATAAGTTAGGTAGGTGATGCTAGAACTCTCTGTTCTGGCTAACACAGGCATTCTGTCCTGATTTTTCAATTACACTGCGAATAGTAACTAAGTTCCAGATAAAGCGTCCAAACATAGCCCGAATAGACTCACTGTGCTTGTAATAAGTATTGACAATTTGCCTACGCCCGTGCAGCTATAAATCATTCCATGATGATTTGTCAAATAATACTGAATACAAATGTGAATTTTAGAGGAAATATGAGAAAAATTTTGGCGGGATGACGTTTAAAAAGGCATATAGAAGATATGCAAGAGATATAATTTGATCACCCTGTACTTGTTGTATGGCGAGTATTGGCTATCATTTCCAACAAAAGAATAAAAATTGCAAAACTTCTTGTTAATTATGCTTTGCTTGACTTTTATAAATGAAATTCTACGCGCATTGATAGAGAATAATCAATATTAGTTCGGTTATTGTCGTCACTTGTATAGGACTTTAATAAAGAATTCGATAAAAGCGTTATAGAATTGTGGTATATACAATTACTATTTCTTGGCTAACTTGGCTTCACTTTCGCAAAACATATGATTTCCTTAAATATGAAAAAAAAAAACAAACAGAAAAGTATTGGGAAGAAACTTCTGTTTTTCTGAATAAAAAGAAAATATATATATGTATATGGACTTGATTACATAAATAAAATAATACAATGAATATATTTGTTTTGTTTATACCCTACACTCCTTCTGGTACAAGGGTATATTAAGTTTGTGCGTATGTATGCAGCACCCAAAAGGGTTTAAGATACACCAACTTTTCATTATATCGATCTTGCTTCTCCATACGTCTTTTCGTCTTTTTTCTTTGCGTTCAACCTACAGACCGCAATTTTTGAGATATACTGACATGTTTTGATCCAAGGACGAACGCTATTAAAAGTGGTCCGGATTGGATAATTTTCTCGAGCACTTTTCACATAAGGCCTTACTTTGAAAAGTCGTTGCATGAATAACTCTGCTGTAGTGATGGGTCGCGGGCCACTGTACTGTTTTTATTTGTTTTTCATCTAAATATTTTTTTAATAATTTTAATTTCCTTTTCTTGGCTTCAGTAGAATTACGTTTTTGCTTGGCATCACTTATAAATTCTGCATAAGTTACACGGAATTGAAACAATTAGACCATAATAAAAGCGCTAATATTGTTAATACTGATCTGTGGACTTACAGTGAGACTGCACGGAGGCCATCTTTCCGATTTTTACCTCTTTATCTCTCTGTCTCTCTCTATTTATTTGCTATTATGAGCTTTCCAAGAGCCGACAGCCCATGGACGGAAAGACAGACATGGCTAAAACGGTGCAGTCCATTACGTTGACGAAAAAAGAAATATGTATATATATACATGCATTTGTTGGTACTACAAGCAAAATAAAAAAGGTATTATATATCAATTTTTGGATGTCGAGTGTAAAATATTTGTTACAAGAAAATTGAAAAAGAAAACACTGTTGTGCTGTTCAATGCTTCTGCTTTATAGGGTACTGATCTACTTTCGTTAATATTATTAATATTGTTGTTGTTATTGTAATCGTTTTGGTTATAGTTGTTGCTGTTTTTGTAATTGCTGTCGTTATTTTGGTTTTGTTAGGCTTCTCTTTTTCTTTTAAGCTATGATAACGGTGATATGATAATAATAGTGCCGATGACTGTGGTGAACAAAATTCAGTTGTAGCGCGTGCTATTACATTTGTTATGTTGTTTACCAGCATTATGTTAATTATTGTTGTTTCCCCGTTGTTACTGTTATTTTTATTGTTGTGCTGACGTATATGTTAATTTTTTAACGTTTAGCTTGATTATTGTTGTTGTTATTATTATTATCGCTAAATTATATATATATATATATATATATATATATATATATATTTATATTACATTATACATTTATACTTGATACATTTTTTCTTAACAATAAAAGAGCTCAATATGATTTTGAAAATTTTCTTTTTGTATATTTTGCATATTAATTGACTTTCATTATATATGTACATAATATAATACATACATACATACATACATAAGCTTATATATTTGTTATTGTACCAGTTCTTCTCTCTTTTTCTTTTATTTATTTTTTATTTGTATGTTATTTGTACGGTTTCTTTTTTATTTTTACATTTCACCTTTTTTGTATATATATTTTTATATTTTTTTTTATTTTTTTATTTTTTTGTTGTTGTTAATTTATTATACATGAGCACGAGAGTATGCGTATTGTATATATACATATATACATATATATGTACTTATATATACCCTAGATGTAAATATATGTGTATATATGTGTAGACTTATATATACATATGTATATATTGTTTTCGAGTGTGTTTGGAAGGCTAAGCTGTTTGAGGTTTTTGTGTATGAAGTGTTATCTACTATTCTCTGAGTATGCGTTTTTTACATAGGCTCCATGCATTTGGTTTGTTTGTGTATTATGATTTACTGTGTGTTTTCTTCTTTCGTTATATATTTTTATTTTGTTATTTTTCTACATTCGCTCAGTATTCGCTTTGTGTATTGTTTTATCTTTTATATAGTATATACAGTAAAGCAAAATAAGAAAATAAATTATTTTATTTTTATGTAGTACTGATGTAGCTGTTGCTTTTCAATAGCTTATGCTAAATTGTAAAAATTGTATTATCATGGATTATGAAAGTTGTTGTTATGTATGTACATATATGTGTTTATATACATGTGTATAAATACATACATACATATATACATATATACATATATATATGTATATATATATAAATATGATATATATATATATATATATATATATATATATATATATATATATATATATGGTTGTGTATATACGTATATATATGAAATTTGTGCTACTAACGGTTTCAAGCTTTCAGTGTTCTCTTTCAATAATAATAAGTTTTTCTTTACAAATCTTTCTTCTCTCTCGCTCTTTCTCTCTCTCACTCTCTCTCTTCTTCTTCTTCTTTTTAGCTCTTGCTTGCACGCTGATTTACTCTTTCTATTTATGCATATATCTCTTTGCAAGCAAGGAAACGGATATATGAACTCTTATTTTTCGCTTTTCTTACTTATATATATTTTCTCTGTATGTCACACACATGGCACTGCCATGCTCTCATTACCACTACACTCTTTCATATCATCACACCATCAACTTATATTGTATATTATTTATTAAACCCTTTCCGTTTAAAAGCTAAAATGTACATATGTCATAAAATGTTTCTGCATGTTTTATTTATATGTTTATAAGTATGTGCGCGTGTGCATATATAAGCCACCCACTCTTATTACCCCGGCAACCACTTGTTTTCTTGAAACAAACAACATGCTCTTGCTTGCTGTCTACACGTTAAGCTTTGATGTGATGTATTTTCATTATTGTTTTATACAGTCCTTGTTCATGCCATTTACCGTTAAGTGTACATCGTTGTAAATAGCGCGTTATATGTTAGCTGTGTGTTGTTTTGTTACTGTTATTTAATGTTCGTGCTGTGTAAGTGAATGGACGTTTACGGAAAAATTGTGACATTCTCCGGAGCATTCGTGGCATTTTTTCCTTTTTTTTTTGTTTGTTTTTTTTTCTTTTTTTTTCTATTTGGATAGAAAAGAAAACTTAAACAAACTTTTTCAAGCGGAAAATTATCTTTGGAAAAAAATATGTAGAAAAAAAAAAAAAAAAATAAATAAATAAAAAACGTTATAAATTTGAATTTATATTTCGCTGATTTCTATTGCGGTTTGATTAGGTCGTTTAAGTGAAAGTGTTGTAGGTAGGATTTGAATTTACTTTTATTTTTTGTTTTTTTCTTTTTTCTTTTTCCACCACCACTTATCTGCTTCAATTGTTTAACTTGTTGTTGTTAGTATTGTAATAATTATATTTATATATTTATTACTTATACATATAACTAAGTGTGTGTATGTGTGTATTTGTGTTCCAATCATTGTTGCTAATGATGATTATCAGAATTGTTGTTTTTGTTATTGTTGCTTTCAAATGAAAAGTTACGAGTGTTTTTCATTCTATTGTATTCTTTATCAGTGGTAACATATGGTTCACAAATGTGTTCAGTTACGTGAAAAATATTGAGAATTTTTTTTCATATTTTATCAACAATAACAAGGTAAATATACTAATAACAATAATAGAAATTCTTTCCTGTTTACATTTCGTATTTAATATTTTCGTACACCTTTGAGAAAAAGAAAAGGCATTAATTATATACATTTTTTTTTTTTTTTCTTTTTTACCGCTATAGATGTAGCGTGTGTACACAATATACTGGTTGCATAAATGTTAAATTTTTGTATTGAAAGGCAAGCACAGGCTTGATTATTCTTAACTAAATTATATATCTATGAAAAATTTCCTTTGCGGTATATGTGTTTTATATAAAAAAAAAAAAAAAAAAAAAAAAAAAAAAAAAATTTATTCATTTTTCATAGTCGATACTGATTATTAACTTATGGTGGTTACTTACTTACTTATCTTTCATCAGCAATTTTTCAATAAATCTAAACAGTGAGTTAATAGGACATCGATACAATATTCAACATTTATGAAGGTTTTGAAGTTGGGCCCGGTCGGAATACATCAAAAGAAACTCTGGTTCAAGTATTAAAATTTTATCAAATATTTGTTACGCATTAGTTAGGCATATGCTTTGGACAACCCGCAAAGTGTACATATCGCTAACCATGAACGAAAGTAATCAATTTAGAAACATGCATGCGTGTGTTTTGCCATTCACTCGTATGTTGAAATCACAATTACGGGGTCGGTTTTTCCCTATTGCAATATACGCCTTCCGCACGAATAGCCGAATAGGTAAATATGGCAATAGCAAGAGGTCGTCAGCGGTCGCATCTTCAAATCTCCAGTGCGATGGAATTTATTTCTTCATAGCTGTAATGGGTACTTGGTTGGTATGTTTTTACAAATCCAATAGACAACTGCCATATCCCTTTCATTTTCCGGACTTCTTTCTGATCGACACTCAGTTGCGCGAGCAGGGTGTATCTCCTGAGTGATTGGTCATTTAAGAAAAATTTTTACTGTAATAGTTTTACTTTACAGTTTTAAGGTGGATTTCAAGATTTTTCTTAGTGAAATGCTTGCCAAGATTGAACCGAGGACTTACTCAACTTGCACTTTCCATTATTATCTGCAAACTGTTGTTGGGTTAGGGAGTAAACCTACACGAAATACATTTCTTCTTGAGATTTGGATAAAAATTTTTTTTTTTTTCTTGATTACATTATCTGAATCTAGCCATTATTGCTGGTGTACGTAGTTGTACAGCGTATCGACATTGATAAAAGGAAAACAATGAACTCGCGATTATGCTTACATATAACTAAATGATTTTGTAACTGCACATTATTGCCCCTTTGGTATGAAGGAAACGCATCTGATGTTCATAAAAGACTTTAAGCGTGGTTTGTGAGCTGAAAACATTGAAGCATTGACATGAAAATTACGGTTTTTCTTTTAACGAAGATTCGACGATTTCGATTTGGATGATATGCGCACTTTTTGACAAAATCAATTTATTGTTAGAAATGTTAAATTATCGTGTAATCACGGAAAAGGCATATGGGAGCTTGACATCCAGATCATGCGATATGATTCTATTGGACTTTTTACTTTTATAGTGGATTGGGTGGGCGCATTGTCTTGCGTCAATAAACCGCGAACCTCTCAATAGGCTTATTCACCAGAATTCTTCGCACTATTGGCGGGATTTATGTAGAAAATTGGAAGAAGGCCACAGGCGGTTATTTATATGCAAATGATTTTTAAATAAATATTGAATGAACTAATATTTAAAATAGAAGAAAATTCATATTGATATTTTGTACCGTTCAACACTTTTTATAAATAAAAACAAACATTTTATTTGATGGCCCTATAGAAGGTTTTCGATATTACCCTCATGTTATTTCGTGAATGGGGTCGATACATGTTAGAAGGGGATATTAATAATTTCGACCATAGTTGCATATTTTTTTAAAATTTTGCTTAAAAAAATTTCATGAACATATCAAAACTTTTTCGTACCTTGAGCGGGGGAGGGAGGTATTTATTAGACTTCAACGCAACTTTTGCGATACATTCGTAAAATAAATCAATAAAGGGACATAATTGTTGTGAATAACGTGAGTCAATATCTCGTGCTTAGCGGGATATTACGTTCGTAATCATAAGGATTAAATTCGTTTATTTCTCTACGTCTTGCAAGTGAACTTGGCTAATAACGCTGAACAACTTTGGTGTAAAATGATTAAAAGGCATACTACGTCAATCTCCTTAGGCGCGATTATTGAGAGACCATCGAATATGATATCATTCTTAGTCCTGACAAAGGATATAAATCAATAGATATTTGTCCACAAAGTTGAGGATTATACTTAGGCATGCGTTGATAAGTATTTTCCAGTAACTCAGCCATTTTACATTTTACATTTGTTGTTTGACGCTTCTTAGAAAAAAAGAGGTAATACGTCCTATATTAATTAAAGACCAGTTGGAGGCTCTGTCATAATGATATTGGCTTGTGAGCAGCTTGGGTGACGAAAGCATCGCCAAAGTTCGAGCGCGACGATGCGCCGCGAATTGAGGTTAGAAGAATAGCAGAGGTTACATGTACATATATATATACATATGTATGTGGCCTTACGCTAGCTACCGTCTTTGATGACAGCCTGTAGTAGCAAAGTCGCATATGTGGAAGTTTGATTTTCTGCCACACCCTTCCTATTCTTCAAATATTGCCCTCAGCGAAATTCTATCTATTCGCACATCTCATGAGAGTACTCCAGGTAAAGAAGATTTGATATTGAAGCGTATTTCGAGGTATTTGAAAAAACGAAAAGTTAGAGAAGAAGAAGATCACGACGACGAGCAAAATTAAGTTTTGCAATAAAAAAAAAAAAAATTGTTTTTTTCTTATTGAAGCTTGGAAACTGTTTACACAACCCTCGTAGTTAATAGATGATGAAATGATAAAAACGTTTAATATTTTTACGCAAAAATTGCATAAATAATTTTATATTTTATAACTAATCAGTTCTCTTTGCTTTCGAATTTATTTTTAGAAGTACATAAAATTTTAAAGCTTTTCGAAAATTTTTCAATGAAATTGGTTTAATCACGCCTATAACTGTGACTAAACGAAAGAGAGTACGAAACAAAGGACGGCAATTAAAAGACAAATTCAACTTTTCTTGCTCTTAATACCCTTACATTACTTAAGACCAAAAAAGTATATATTTTATGTATTAATCACAATAAGGGAAAACTTTTCTTAATCTCACACTAAGGAAAAATTTTGTCTAAAATTAATTTTTTATTCGAAAGCACGCGTACCATCCATCCTATGTTAAAAGTACTCGACAATGGACTTTAAAGACAATGTTTTATTCCGTTCATCGGGCTAGTGAAATGAATTTTCGAATTGAAGAAGTAAAACTAATTGCCCTAGACTTTGTTTACTTTCCAGGATATTAGACACACACTTAAAAATTTTCACAGTCACGCTATATCTTAACCAAAAAGAATCTATTTTATTTTTTTGTCATAAAATATGAAATTATTGTTTCTGCGTTAAGTAACGTAACACGTAGCGAAATCATTTAGCAAAAAAAAAAAATTCGATTTTCCCACTATATTACATGCACTTTTAAATGTTTTCATACTAAAAATTAAACGAAAAGAAAAAAACAAAAAGATAATAAAAAAAATATATAGACTTTGACGAATCTTGTATACCCGGTACATTTATCCCAAAAGAGATTGCAAAAAAAAGCAATAATAATATTGTTCAGGCGTGGCTAGTTTTTTGTACTTTCGCATAATACTTTTGTAGAAATTCATCAGTTTTGGTTGCATAGATATGTAGCCGTTGTAGGCATGTTGTTGTTTGATCATGTTTGAACCGTACTCAAACTCTTTTGCAAATTCGTAGGCGATGTTGTGTACAGCAGACGCTACACAATTTGGTAAAGGTGCGAAGGGAGGGAAAATTTTTAGGCGATGGCTTATTCTTTGCGAATGGAAGAATGTATTTAAAAGATACTGCGTAGTTTGGTAAAGGGACGAATAGACGGGCTAACAGACAGACACGCTTACGTCAACTTAGACATAGCCTGCGAGTTCTCAACAGTTTCCTTCTGCGCGTTGTAAACGTTTTGACAAATGCTTATCCTTCCGATATAGGTGGTTTGCTTTCGTTCATATATTTTGTAACTGATCCTCCAGCACTAGGACGAAAATAAAAGAAATCGACGACACTCACCCAAACATTGCCACTTCTTTAATGCAACTTTTTATTGAAAATGGGCCAAATTGATCAGAGGAGATGCCCACAGCACTACGTAGATTAAGGACAGTTCTGTTTTTCCAAAGGAACAAAAAAATTTATTTTCGCTCATTACTCATCAACTACGACAGAAAAATCTATAAAGGTTTAAGCGTATATTCTATGTAAAAAATCAAAACAAATTTTACTACGCACTACCTACTACCCAGTATTCTTGTGCATCAAAATTTAATTTTTTTGTCAAACTCTTTATAACGCATAAAGGCGAGACTCAAAAATCACATAAAGTAGATAAACTCGTCGCCACTTTCATATTCAGAATGCACCTAAGCATGTCCATGCCCCAAGTGCGTCGTATCTGTGATAAAAATTCTTCCGTTCACAAAGCAGAAGATATCGTCTATAAATTTGCAAAGGAGTTTAAAAATGGCCCATACAGGTCACATCGTCCACACATCTATACAACCGAAACCAAGAATATTTTTGCTTTTCGTGTCTTTTTCTCGTTGATCTCAAACTAGAACAAATATACGATATAAATATCAAAAATCGGCCACGCCTATCCAATATTAAGAGGTATACAAATTTACAATTTCCCTTTTTTTAAACTTTTTATAGCAAAATGCTAGTGGGCATAAAAGATTCGATCGAAACCGAGTATAATTTCCTTAGTTGTTAACTTATGAGCGCTGACGAAGTGATGATTTAGTTAGTAACTCATTCAAATTTTTGTCCAAAATTAGTTATGAGCTCAATAGTTTCGGATGGGTCAACGGTGATTTGCGCTTATTATAATCGCCTGA